ATCACAACTGTGCACTCGGCCTGGATGGAATGTTCACGATGGAAAGCATTTCTCACTATGTTTCCATTACCGAGTCAATTAAGCTTTAGGTAAGAATCCGGGCAATTTACGCTGCCAAGACCTTCTGAAAACCAGCATGAGATCATACCCTCCCAAAGGAGTCCGCCGTTTTATCCCAATGAGCCGATTGTGAGTAGAATCTCTATCAAATACACAAGCCATGAAACCACCGAGGCTCGCAGTGTTGCTGAATGGGTAGTCAATTTACTGAAAAGTTGGAACGAGCAGAGTCAGGTTCACGCTTAGCATTCCTTTGCACTCGGACGCAAGGTCAACTATTTATATTTTCGTTAAGGACTTTCGGGAGATGATACATACGAATAATTAGGAGGAATTACGAACAAATTACCGGGAATTTTTTCGAATTGCTGAAAACTTCTTCTCGCACCCTTTCCACGAACATTTGGAATACTCATGCCACCAAAAAAGTCTTTTCACCTTCTTCCGAATATCATACATACAATGCCCCTTCTTGGGAATTTCCCAATGGACGGTGAGCAGTTCCCTGGAGCCGGGTATCGTCTTTACAGTTTCTGGGCGGGAGTAGAGTGGTATCTGCACAAGTGCATTATTCGTTTCCCTACTTTGCGCTGCAGAATGAAAAAATGGGAACTTATCAAGGTTGTGTACATACTCAAAAAGGATTTGAGTTCATGCCTCATTCACGCGACACATGTACCAGCCAAGACTGCAATATAAGGAATGCTACTACAGATCAGTCAGCACGACTCCCACTTTAACACGTTGACGACAGCGCGCCTTTCGGCTTTCCTAGCCACATGGGACAGGCGCGGTCTTGTGAGCGCGGCCACCCACCTCACTTCACCTCACCCGTGAATTTTTAGTAACAACTATGCATATCTTGAATGAAACAAAAGTATTTCGACATCAATCTATTTGTAGAAATTACTAGGGCGTATAGAGGTGGAATTCCGACTAAATGAACGTGTAAGAGTGATGAGAGAGCAAATTTTACTCTTTTCTCTTTTTAGATGTGAAATTATTTTGGTCGAGATTGTGCTAAGAGAAATGTTTGCTAGCCGCATAGGTTTGCATTTTCTTCTGCTGCTCATTTTTGCTTACATTATAATGAGAATATGAAGAGAATGAGGAATGAAGCGAGCTGTCAATTTTGTAAAGCTTACAAAAGCTTTTCTAAACTGAAGTATACTTGACTATATGGTGAA